AAAAAATTTAGAGATCGGAAGAAATATTTTGTAGCCTATACAAAAATAAAGGAAGTTTAAAATATACAAACGAAAATTTAGATTAGAAAAAGTATGAATGCCAAGAATACAGGAAAAATAAGTCTAAAAAATATATAATGCTTGGAGTATATTAAAGTTAAATTTTGAATATAAAATTGTAGAAGTTTGTTGCTGTAAAATAACTGAAAATTAAATAAACTAAAAGTGGAATAAAAATATAAAACGATTCTAAAAAAATGAAATTTTGTATAAGAAAAAATTAAAGCTTAGAAAATATAAAAGTAAAAGAAATTAAAGTAATATGTAAAAAAAAAAACGGAATATTTGATAACAAAAAAATTTTAGTATTAAAACTGCAGCAGAAATTATTTACCGAGCAAATGATCGTTTTTAATTTTTTTATAAATATAATTATTTAACAAAGATTAGGTTTTATTGATGTAAAATATGCATCGATTTTTTTCTTTTATAATTATTGATCGGTTTTCCTAAACTAAAATTTCGATTTACGTTTAACATTTTTATCTTTGTTGTTAAAAAGAAAAAGATAAAAATAAAAGTTTTTGATAATAATTCTTAATTTTATAATGAAAAAACGAAGACGAAAAAACAGGAAGTTTCTAAAATTAATAAAAGCTGTAATCTTTCTCTTAAATTTTCTAAAATACAAAAGATATGCAAATTTATATTCTTTAAAAGTCTAAAATTCTTCCAAAAGTAGTAAATTATTTATAACTTCGAAAAGAATAATATCTTTATTATTTACAAAGAATGCAGTATGTAATCTATAAAATATACTAAACTGCTCTTATTTATAATAAAAGAAATTTCAAAATAAAAATGGAATACTCATTAACTTTGCTAATTTTATTTAAACATTAGAAAAATTTGGATATTTGTGTGCTTTTGGTGTAAAATATTTTTTGTATTTTAAGAAATTTCGGCATTGCGGCACAACTATGTATTTCACCTTTACATTGCGGTGCTTCCATCTCGTGATAAGAACTGAAGCGATGCACTAACAAAGAAGTATACCATCAAATCTTTATAAAAATTACTTCATTTGTTAAAATATTTTAAACTGTAGCTATCAATATAACACTAGAATTAAAATAATTTTAAATTTTTTATTACTGTGTCGAGTATTAAAGTAAAAAGGCAAAATAAATATATTTCCTCCCAAAAATGAAACTAAAATTTCAATTTGCATATATTTTTCAGATGCATAATATTTTATAAATTATATTTTTTATATGTACATAAAATTTTATTCAAATTTAAACGTTTTATTTTAGTTTCTCTAAGAAAAAACTACTTCAATTCTAAATATTTCTCATAAAATTGTGTGCAAAATCAATAAAAGCTTAGTACGCATGCATATTAAACTTTTTTAGTTCAATTTATGGAATAAAAAGTTTAATATTCATGAGTAATAAAGCCTTTACTTCAGTTTCTATAGGAAAAATATCTCTTCAAATCTGTACTTAATTAACTGTTTGCATTAACTCATTGCATTTATAAATTTTAAGATAATTTTCGTGTAACGATTACTCAATTACAGTCGATCCCCCTATAACACTGTTGATTATTTTGTTTTATACGAATTCCATGTTGTACGAGTCACTTAGATTTTACAAATACGTAGCCGTTCAGAGCCCGGCACACGTATCTGTAAAATCTAAGTGACTCGTACAACATGGAATTCGCATAAAACGGAATAATCAACAGTGTTATAAGGGGTCGACTGTACCAGATATTTTGTTTTATTTCATTTTTAGTATATAATTTAAAATATCATACCGTCACTCTTATATCTTGTTAAATGTAAAAATCAAGAATTATATAGATTTATTTTATTTAAAAAAAATTTTACGTTATGATTATAACAAATACCCCAGTTGGTTTCACTATACGAAGTGAAAATTCCAATAAAAGAAATTAGAAAATCCGAAGAATTGTAAGGAAATTGATAACCAATTCAAGTAACTTTTCTATCGATAATTCTTATAAGAAACTAAGCAGGTGTAACTTTAAAGTGATAGAATAATGCACTTGAAAGCCAGACCTGACAGATTCGAATTTAGTGAAAATCTAACTTCTTCAATTTGATCATTTTTTTTTCTTACTATAATAATTTTTAAAAAGTTTCAAGATAGAAATGATCAAATTCGAAGTAAAATAATTTAAAAGTGATTTTAAATTCTTTGCTATTTTTTTTTTTTTACTGTTTGGCAGCGATCCATACAAATTTATAGAGATCTCGAATTATTTGGCAATACTTTTCAAAAGTTTCGATTGCTTAATTTCAATGATGCTGCATTTAAATCAGACGAAATAATATTTAAAAATAACAAACTTTAATTTTTGAATAATGTTCTGATATATTTTTTTCTTTTCTGTATTGTCAGATTTTTTGATGAATTAACCTAATAACATAGTCTTAAAATAGCTTCAAAGAAATCTCATGTTAAATCAAATCTGATGCTACTTTTAAAGATTTTTTAGCTATTAAATATCATGATTACCAACGAAATTAATAGCTAAACAATTGAAAATATTTGGAGTTTTTTGTTTAAAATATGTTTGTTAGATATTAAATGCTTGAAAGAATAAATATTTAAATTTATTTTTTATAACTTGTTAATTTAAACACTAATAAAATAGCTTAATTACAGTTAATAATAATCACAAGAAAAATGGGTGTTTATTCATCAGCAGTTAGATATTACAGAATTAATAGTCATAAAAAATCAAAATATTTAAATTTATTTTTTAAAACTTGTTAATTTAAACACTAATAAAATAGCTTAATTACAGTTAATAATAATCACAAGAAAAATGGGTGTTTAATCATAAAGAAACNAAATTCTAGAATTATTTTTGTTACGATGCGTTTAAATATTCATAGTTTAACTTTTATGGTAGATTATACGCAGAAAGAGTATTGATAATATATTATTAAACAAATTTTGTTAAATTTGATTAATGGATTCATTTTAAATCGAACGTGCTTATGCATAATATTCACGATACAGTATTGAATAAATGATAGAAATCTCTTATCATAATGCACAGTAAACTTCAATAATATTATTAATTATTATATACTGTCAAAATATATGTTTAAATTTTTAAAATTTATGCAGGTTTTGCAAAGAAAATATTTGCTTTTCTTGTGAAAAATAACCATTAAAAATAGTTTTCTTTTAGAATTTAAATTTTTACCAGAAGAGAAAAGTGTTTTAAAAAATAAATAAGAATATCGATTTTGGAGGAGACTTGAAAAGATAATTTACAAAGACTTTAATGTGCACTTATATTTGAAATAGAATAAACAGGGTAGACGTAACGCTGTTTGGGAGTACAAACTATCTTGTTTAAATAAATGCAATTTCATAGAAGAAAGAATTCTGATGAACTCGAATTATGTCCGTTTGAACATTTTTTATTTAGTATGATAAACAGTTCATCTGATTTGAGTGTTGGAGAATCGAATCAAATGAGAAAGCAGAGACTGAAAATAATCAATTGAATAATTAGTAAAATTTTATATTTATGTAATCATTATCTGGATATTTAAAATAAAAAATCTGAAAAAAAATGATTTAACGGAATATCGTATTAATAAAAGTACGAGCAGATATTTTTTTAAATGTTAAAAAAATCCTGTTATTTTTATTTGATAATTAATATATTAAAAAATAATTGGAATTTAATTAACGCATTAAATATTTAAAATATTGAAAGTGATTAAAATGGAATTTACATTATTATTAATTATTTAGTTAGGACTAAAGCTATGTTTTTTTAAATAAAAACAAATAAGGTTTATAAAGTCAAAAATAATGTAGGAGTTTAGTAACATAAAAAAAGGGAGAAAATCTATATTTTTATTTAAAATAGAACAAAATCAATAATTGGATTATATAATTAAATTTATAATTGAATAATTAAATACTTGAACAACTAAAAAAAGATTAAACTACAATAATACTGGTAAATCTCACAGGATCTTTATTTCTTTAGGAAGGATGCAGAGGAGTTTGTAATTACTAGAGTTCTTGGACCCGAATCCAAAAGAGAAATTTACCTGGAAACTATCCAAAATTAAATTGATTAAATTTTAGGAAAATAGGAAAATCAATTTAAATCGGGATGAAGTTTAGAGAAGCCATTCTCATTTTTTCAACTTCTCACCTTTTTCTGAGTAAATAAATTTTACAAAATTGCTCAAATAAATACAAATATTTTCAGTTTTTGCACAGACTACACATTTAAATAAAACCATTTGAAAGACAAACGAGTTCGAGAAGAATGGTTCTAGAAACAATACATTAGACTATATAATATTCTTCATAGGGTATCGGTTTCGGATGATAACCGAAATAATATGAATCACGGTTGCTGGGCAACGCTATAAGAGATGATAAGAGTGACGTAACCGATCTAAAAGTTATCGTCTTTTACCGCATACAATACCAATATGTCACATTGGAGAGTGGATGCAGGAATCCGTATCTATCCCATTCAGTATCTCGAGTAATAGCCTTAAATATTGGAAAGTAATCTCAAATTAAGATAGTTTTCTTCCTTAAAAACATCCAAAAAATAAAAAATTTACAAATGCAAGAAAAATATGAAGCAAATCTGCTATTAAATTCTATTAATAATGCATCGTAAATGTATCAAAATGGAAGAAATCTGAATTATATTTTTAATCGGCAGAGGAAAAATCATATTAAGTAATTAATTTACTAAAATCTAAAACAAAAGAGGATTGAAAAAGTTTCTATTATTAAATAATTAAAATAAAAAAAGGGCGAAAATCATCATCCGGAGCAATTTTCGGTTCGTGTGCAATATTTAAAACACATAAAATGTACTTACCAAGTGCGTCTAGAAGATTCCTTTCCGATGGATAGTCCTACTATTCTTTAATCAGTTTGCATTTATGATTATCGGAAATATACTTTAATCATAAATGCCTCTAAGTAAAATTCACACCTGATATATATTTAGTATTTAACTATAGTCTTATACAGAAGATTATTACTAAAATATCGCAAATGTTATTCTTCATCGATTATTGTTCCTATAACTTAGCAGAATGGTACACGTATGAGCAGATTTCGGTGCGAAAAATCCAAAAAATACACCTACGCTTCATCTGTGGACTATCCGTCGGACATCTAGCATCTGCTCGCTTCTGCGGTCCATCCCTTCAATGCTGGATCACAACCCACTCACCCGGAGCTTGGGACGATCCGATCGAAGACGACAATACTTAATAAAACACTTACCACTGTAGTAGACCTGTAGCCCACATGTATGTTCTTTTATGTAGAACAAGTCACTCTAACGGAGCATCTAATCCCTTTTTGAGTTCCGGAATCTAATCCGTCACATCGGAGACCAGACGAGACGTTACATCGCTACTAGTAGCCATCTTGACGGAAAACGACGTGAGCGCCACTTTCCACCCCCTAAATTCAAAATGCAGTCTTCTTGTGGTCGTTTAGTACAGATACCATTTCCTCTAGGTCATTCGGAATAATGGAAAATTTTGGATATCGAATTCCAGCTTCTTGCCAAATTGTTAATCTACACATACTCGGAATTAGTCGCAGTTGATATAGGTCTAAATTGCATAAATAAACCAAACTGTAGATGCATCGAATATTTAATTATTCTACAGTACGTCTATACAATCGAAGCAGACAGTAGCGGAGAATTAAAAAATACAAATTATTTACAATCCTTATACTAATTATAATATACTTTTTAAATATCCGCTTTATTTAGGAATCTTTACTATTAGAAATTAAGCTAAATATCTAATCTTTTATGCATTATTAATATAAAAATTTTCATTATAAAATAAAGCTAATGTATAAAATATTAAAAAGTTTATTACATAAGCATGATTTTATCTGCAATAGCTTATCGTATACAAAGATTAACATTTACAATTTCTAACGACATCTGTAACTTTAACGAATATAAATTAACTCAAAAATTATCGTTTAGTAAAGAACGTCAGTAATTCTCGGCATTTTCAACTGTTAGAAAGCAACTACGGTACATTATTGAGTATCACATAGATATAATTACGCTATCAAATATTTTGTCATTAAAATAATTTTATGTTAATTCTTGGAATGAGTTGTAAATTATTTAAATTATAAATTTGGTAATCAATTTTATTTTTCTGTTTTGAATATTGTAAATAAGTTCATTTCTTAAAGCAGAAATTTTGATAATTTGACCTTGTTATCTTAAGAATAATAATTTCTCGTGCGGATGTATTAAATTAGCTTAGAGCTGAGATAGACCAAATGGAAGAGAGCAAGTGATGCTAAGTAGTAAATGATATTCTATACGAGATGAATTATTCATCTTAAACTTTTAAAATATTGAGATTATAGTTTCTCTTCTAAACTTTANCAGCATTATTACTTATGCTCAATACGTGCAGAAAGCAGAGTGGAACTGAATACCTCCTTTTCCTCTATTACTATAAGATTGTATTTTTAATAATTTAATGTTTCTAATCATTATTGTAAACTGATTCATTCGATTTAATTCTAATCTAACTTGTAAGAGAATAATGGGATAGAAAATGATGTACGTTTTCAACCCTGAATACTTTTTCAGTGGCCAAACAATCGATTACCGAAAATCTTGCTTTGTGAGTAATCTGCAATAACATAATCTTGAATGTTACTTGAATTAGTAATCAATCTTATGTAATTCTTGAGTATTTTGAAATGAAGTTGGAATAATGAATTTTAATGAATAAAAACCTTAAATAAATGTTTATTTAAAATTCTACTTGAATAAGAAATAAGTAATGTACGAAATGAATAAAGAATTATTTTTGTATATGTAGATGCCCTTTTCTATCAAAAATTAATATTTAACAGTATATACTTTATTAAGAGATAATTTAATTTTTAAATTTTAAATCTGTCCTGCCTTCTAAAAGAGCCTTTCCCGTACTGCCAGACCTTCAGTGGGNTTTGTAAAAAGTAAAGGAAAATTTTGATATTATTTTTCAAATTTATTTAACCATTTTTATTGCAAAATCCTGAATTTTTGGTTAAGTAGAAAAGAAAAAAATTTTGTCAAATTTATAAAATTTATTCGATTGACTACATTCGTAGTATGAAACATTTGAATAACCTCTGTAAATCACGCTTTCTAGCTTGGAAGCACTGTTGTGTAAGGAAAAAAGCATTACGTTAAGCTAGGAAACTGTTTCAAATATGTTTAGAAATAACTTTCGACATCTCATAAAAAGGAGAAAATTTCATCAACTCTCGCGATTTGTATCCTATTTATATGCAAATTCGTTTATTATTCTTAGGGAGCCATCTTGCTAACTTCTTAATTAAACCTTTCTCTTGAAAATAATTTTATCACAAAAATAAGCATTTCATTAGGAATACATTCGCTGCAGTTATTACACTATTTTATAATTTTTAAATCAAAAAATAATTTATAAATTAATGAATGGTATTAAATAATTTAATTTAAATATCGTTTAATAATACACTGATTATAATTTAAAAATATGTAAGATGGAATGCAAAAGTAATGAAATTTTGAAATGTTAGAAGCAAAAATTATCAAAATTTTAGAAAAATAACTAATGATAATTTATAAAAATGGAAAGTAATAAAAGAGCAGAAATTAAAAATAAACAGGAAAGCAAATCCAATAACAAAATATAGGATTATCAAAAATGATATATGAAAGAGCATCTCTCTTGTGGTTAGACCACATGTGACGTTTGAAAAGAGTTTAAACGCTTACAGAATATATCAAATATCATCTTCTTGACATATTCTCAAAACTTACTCCCCGAAGCTACAAATATTTTTAGAAATATGAAAATAAAATAAAGGAAAACAAATATACTTTCACAAAACCGAACTAATAAAAGTTCACAATAAAAGAGATGGCAATGCACTTGAGTGAGACATAAATATATAAACTTAATTCAATTCTTTTTCGATTGTGTACTTCACGCTCATAGAAAAGTGGAAGCAGAAGTGAATAGCACAAAATAATTTATTTTAGTAAAACTCAGCAATTGTCTTTAATCTGGACATTTAAATAGTTTAAGAATGACCTACATTCAGTTCTAAAATTTCAAAGATGTTTCTTTCATTCTCGTTTTCAATTCAAAAGAGAAAGAACTAATTAATTATAGATTACTGACATTTTACATAAAATTTCGCGAGTGAAGCGAGTTAATTTTTCTAGGTTGAATGGAAATAATGTAACACTCGTTTCACTTCAAATTTAGTATAAATACGACTCTTTTTCGGTTTTTATCACAATTTTATGTTCGAAAATTTTATATTTTTCAATATAAATTCGCATTTGAAGTCGGTCAGTTAGAAATTTCTACTTCTGGCCCGACGACTTCAAAATGTAGAGTGGAAATTATCCGTACGGTTAGTATCTATCTATAGATCCGAAGTAATTTATTTCCATTTTTGGATGATAATATCAGAATAATATATATTTTCCTTTTTGCTTATTGATAACAATATACAAATATCCATTCAAGTTTAAATTTTGATGGATATAAACTTTAAACATATCTAAAAACGAATCTTCTTTGTAATAGCAGCGGAGAGAAGTGGCATTGCTAAAAGATTAGATCGAGATCTTTCACGTGTGCAATGATTTTCTATATTAAAAATCGATCGGAAGTTTAGATTTTATTCGTTGTAAATGCTACAGAAGAAATTCTATAATTGGTGAAACAAATCTACCATTACGGATATTTTTGCTGGCAAAATGTGTTTTGGCTCTACGCGTATTAATTTAATATGAAGGTAAAGTTTTATACATTTTTTCCTTTACTACATTTGGCATAGTTTCAAAACATTTTAGAAAACATTTTTGAATTATTAGACAACCACTAACGTAATTGAGCCAACGCAGTTTTTCTTGTTTAGAAGTTATAATTTGTAGAGTAGTATCTCTCATTAAATGTTTTCTACGCTTTATTCTCCAATTTTATTATTCGCAAGAGTTTTAATTTTTATTTTAAAATTTACCTCAAAATAAAATCTCTCTCCTATAAATTAGAAGAATTTACAAAAGCAAAGGCAACTTTCTGAATCTATGCTTAACAAATATGGATATCGGCACTATTGGCAAGCGATTGAATGTTATTTTTGCTTATCCGTGTGACCTCTGTTCCTATTGGTCAATCGACTGCTCCGTGACCTACTTCGCGTCACATTGGGTCCATCCTAACGTTTTGTCTTGTCGAATCGAAATTTTTTATCATTAGCTTTCTTACTGCATATTCCTTTCAAAAATTTTTGCCATGAAGTTTTCCAACCTTCTTTTTTGTCTAATATTGTCATTAATAGTAAATATGATCATTAATATTGAATGTTAGTCTCTTCCATAAGCTTGTTCGTTCCATTTTTTACAACATATAGTAGCAGAAAAGAAAAGAAGCCATTAATAAAGTAAATCTTATAACCTTTTTGAGAACTAGATGCACTTTATAGCATTTCAGCAATAATAAAGAATAATATTCGTTTATAAATAATTTTATTTTAAAAACTTTAGAAAGTTTATACGTTCTACGTTTACATTATTGCTTAATCTTATAAATCTTTTATATTATCATATTTGTTTTTATTATATGATTACATAACATATAAGAATTGAACTTTTAAAAATATACATATTAATGGTGTTTTTTAGAATCTGTGAGATTTAAATCTCCGCCATTTTTGAACTGTTGTCTGTAGAATGCTGCCATCTCGGAATTAACATCACAACGAAACCCCTACTTTCAATTCTCTTTAATTTTTTCTAATTTCCAATCTAAAGTAAACAGAAAAAATTTGGCAAAAAATATAAAAAGAAAACAAAAATAAATTAAATCTTATTCTAGAGCCGGAAAATTAGCCAAACATATCAAAACTCTAACGGAATTGTATTAAAGAATAACATGTTTATTCTTTACAAAACTAAACATAGTAATAAAAAAAATGATTTATAATAATGGAATGCCAACGTTGTTATATTCTACACTAGGAAAATATCGTTTATTTATATAGGATACAAAAAAAGAAAAAGAAAATGTCTGTGGGGAAAAAGCTTTTTCTTCTCGAAACAAATATGAATGAAAATTTAACTCGGAGCCGACAGGAAATTTAACTTTCATACACTTTTAAAAACAGTACGAAAGTTTAAATTTCCTGTCTTCGATAGCAAAAAAGTTATAAAATATTTTCCCTATCTTATCTATAGAGTAGTCGAAAATTTTGGATCGATACTCGAAAATTGCAAAACAAAATTATGTCTCTAATATTGGTCAAGTCCGAATGGGGAAGAATATTACTTTTAGTTATATATACAGTATATAACTCTGTAAATGATTATAATTTAAAAATATCGACAAAAAATAAATAAATAATGGTTTAGATTACTTGACAAACTTTCCAGTTTATCAAGATTAGAATAATGATTGTTGATAAAATACACTC